TGTATAGCCACTGAGATATATAAACTTTGCAACGAGAGTAGCGAGCTTACCCAGCACTAGATCAACGAGTAGTTGGCGCAATACTACCAACGACCGAGAGCGAGTAAAGTAAGGCTGGTTGCTTGTATAGCCACCTATTCATATGAACCATCATAGAGTGTAGCGAGCATATCCGATGCTAAAACAACGATCGTTCTAGAGACTCTACCTGAAATTTTGGTGACAAAGGATATTTATAAGGAGGGCAGGGGATTTTTGATGATTTGTGCCGTGTACAATCATGGCGATTTTTTTCTCTCCCTCTGTTCGGGTTATAATCCCTTCGACCAATACATTGATCTTTTGTGATATGTACGTGTCCTTTGTTTAGTGCATGTCATAGTTACCTCACTACTAGGGTAAATGCATCAATAGTGGAGGTACGTTAATGCAATGTGTTCCTATAGTGGCTTATGGAGACTCCATGAGCTACTATAGGAACACATTACACTAACGTACCTTCACTATTGGTGCGTTTATCCTATTGAAAACTAAAGATGTATTCACATTCGATACAGTTAAATCATACATATTTTATGTTCTACAAGAATGTGATGTTCTGCATAATTCGAAGCGTTCCACAGTGGGATAAAAAAAAAATGAGACATGGCTATTTGCGATGAAACTATTGAGTGTAGCATTTTGATATCTTTTAGAGTGTTTCTTCATTTTTTGAGTACTTTAATTGAGTAACGATCATTTTTGATTAAGGGGGGTATACACTAAGATGAAAAAATTACATTTTATGTCTTATGAAATTGATGAATATCTATAGAAAAATTGTAGGTAAAGTCATTTTAAGAAACTTTGTCTAAGACATCAATTTTCTATCTCTCAAGTGGACGAAGTTATAGGGTGAAAATGGAGTACCCTCTTAAAAACTGCTCTTTTTACCATAACTTTTTAGTTTGAATTTTCCAATTTTTTTTCAATGTTCTACAAAGTAGTAAGTGCTCAAAATAACGTTGTGATTTGCTGTTAATACCTCTTGATTCTGAACAACATAGAAAAAATCGCAAGGTTCCAGCACAATTTTTATAATGTGGCCACTTTATCGGTCAATCCAGATTATCCGGTGAACCAGGATATGGCCACCATATGCCAAAATATGTAATCCAAGTGAAATACGCTTTGATCTCTTGATTCTGAACAACATAGAAAAAATCGCAAGGTTCTAGGACATTTTTAATAATGTGGCCACTTTATCGGTCGTTCCGGATCCTCCTTTAGGCCAGTAGAGTTTTCCTGAGGGCGTATAGGGTGTCTTTACACCATATATACTTAGTACTATCAATTTCCATTAATATACGTTAAGTGAAGTCTAAAATTATGTCGATAGATAGTGGCATTTCCTACATTACCGGGAACTCGGGTTGATCCCGGCCCTCTAACTCGGTACGCAAAAGTCTCCGGCAGCCGAGATATTCAATTTAGTCGCTGTTTTGTCATTTTTTGCCCACTGTGCAATACCTTGGTTTTCTTTGCATGCACGTAACCTATAGCTCATACCGTAGTAGGCTGTGTATAAAAGAAAATGATTTACTTAGACGCAAATGTCGCAAAAAGACATTTCAATCGCCGTGGGAGTGTTCCGGTGGACCGTCAAAAGGGTTTTAAACCGAGAAAAGAAAGGACAACTATCCGCGAAGGTGGCCACCGGTCGTCCGAGGTCAGCTCGGGTTCCGAGGGTTATCGCTGCTATCAAAAGGAAGATTCGGGTGAATCCAGTGCGTTCAATAAGGAAAATGGCAAAAAAACATGGGATCAGTGGCTTTACGGCACGGAAGATCGTGAAGGAAGATTGCGGGGCGAAGTCGAGGGCACGAAAAAAAACTCACATGATTACCAACCGCATCTGGGAGCTACGAGTCGAACGATGCAAGAAAATCTTGAACTTCCTTAAGCGACAAAATCCGGTAATCCTGTTCACCGACGAGAACATGTTTACCGTCGCTCCCGTATCAAATTCCAGAGCAGACCGGTATATTAGTTCTCTTCCGGTAAAAGACGTGGCCGACGAGCACAAGAACGTGTATCTGATCAAGCATCCTGCTAGCGTTACAGTGTTTGGATTGGTGGCTTCCGATGGCAAAAAAAAATGGACCCGGTGTTCATTCCAGAAGGCGACAAGGTCAACACGGAGGTCTACATCGGGATTATAAGTAAGTATGTTCTTCCGTGGATCAAAGAACAGTACGGTCCGAAGTCATATGTTGTATTTCAACAAGATGAGGCTCCGTGCCACACTTCGAACCGCACTCAGAAGTGGTTGCAGGAACATCTTCCGTTCTGGGCGAAGGATATGTGGCCGCCATCTAGCCCCGATCTTAATCCGCTGGATTACTCAATATGGCACGTCATGAAGGCCAAGGCCTGTTCTAAACGCCACCCGAGTACAGCAAGCCTCAGACAAACATTGACCCGTATCTGGAGAGAAATGGATCCAGACTACATTATTAGAGCCTGCCGTGCATTCCGGAAGCGTGTGGAGGCCGTAATTGCAGCAACTCGATCGATAATTAACATAGTTTAAGACTCTGAGAACCATTTGAATAAATAAAAAAACTCGAAAACGAAATTTTTGAGAATTTTTTTAATTTTCACATTGCTCAATGGTGCAAACATTATCACGCATACAGTACAGATAGCGTTAAAAACTTATAAAAAGGGACTTAAACCTTTAAAACAAAGAGATAGCGATTTGTTTTCAGTAGCAAAACTTTGCAATTTTAGAGCACTTACAACTTTGTAGAACATTTAAAAAATTATAAAATTCAAACTAAAAAATTATGGTAAAAAAACGGGTTTTAAGAGGGTACTACCGTTTGTACCCCATTTTCACCCTACAACTTCGTCCACTTGAGAGATAGAAAATTGACGTCTTCGAAAAAGTTTCTTAAAATGACTTCATCTACAATGTTTTCTTAGATGTTCATCAATTTTAACAAGACATAAAAAATCTAAGCTTTATCTAATTGCTCTCACACTATCACTTTAGTTTGGGTCCCTTCTCATTGCTCTATTCCGGGTAACGAGAAAGCGGACTCGTTGGCTAAGGTAGGCGCTATGGAAGGCGACATTCTCGAGCGACAAATCGCCTTCAATGAATTTTTCTCAATTGCTCGTCAGCAAGTCCTCAGAAACTGGCAGCAAAAGTGGAATGATGGTGATTTGAGAAGATGGCTTCACTCTTTTCTCCCACAGGTGTCGAACAAACCATGGTTTAAATGGTTGGGCATGGATCGTGACTTTATCCGCGTCATGTCTAGGCTCATGTCCACCCTAATAAAAATAACCATAAAAGAGAGCTTAACGACGTGTTCGGGGTATCATCCAAACCATTTGTGGGATAGTTTACCTATCCGGGATACCGTTCGTTTATGGTATTTGTTTATTAGGGCAATCACTTTTCATTAGACTCACATCTCTATCGGATTGGGCTCTCAGACAGCAATCTATGCGCCTGTGATGACGGTTACCACGACATCGAGCATGTTGTTTGATCTTGTACTTTATACTGTGTTGCCAGGCCCGAGGAAAGCAACCTGCTACATCCGTTAGAGACGTTCTGGCTAGCCGCGATCTCAAATATATGAAGTTGAATTACAATTTTCTAAAACGGACTGATTTGAGAATTTACTGCATTAAAGTATTTTAAAATTGCAGAAACATTCCAGAAGACATCACAATGCTACACTCAATAGTTTCGTCACAAATGGTTATGTCCCTCTTTTTGATTTCGTTCCACTGTGCGTTCCAAAGTCGAAATAATTTTCATGAGAATCCTATTTCAATTGAGATGTTCAGTGTCATTTGGGACTGGGGCACCTCTGCAAAGACGCCCCTCTCTTCAATCAAAATAAGACTCACATGAATCCTCATTCAATTCAGATCTATGGACATAATTCTGGGATCTCTTCAAATATGCGCCTTCGCAACAATCAAAATAAGTTTTCTGAGTGAGAAAAACAAACGATGGTACTGATATTTAACCATGCATCGGAACCCTGGTCCGAACCTTTTCTTGTCTCCAATCTCCCGATGGGGATTAGGATGGTTCAAAACCGATGGGGATTAGAGTGGATCTAAATATCGAATTTGTTCCACCCCACTCAATCGATTTTGAATCAGGTCCTGATCATCCTCCCAAAATTTGAGCTCATTTGGTGCCGATCTCATACTGCACTGTCCCATTGAAATTTATATGGGAATTACTATGCGAAAAGTGAACTTTTTGTTCACCTTACCTTTACCTTTCTCCGTAATAACTTATAGATAAACTTACTATCTGTACTTATAGGAAATTTTCTCAGCTATAATTATGCTAAAGACCTGTTAGTTAGTTAATAAATTCCAACATTTCATCGGATGTAAGAGCAATTGGTATTGCGTGAAGGAATGATGATGGGAACATTGTCGTGAATATTCTGGCAGCCAAAACCAGGGTGGCTCCCATCAAACAGCAGTTGTATTGTCAACACTCATGAAATCATCATCTTCTTTGCACTAAATAAATGATAATTTTAGTCCTTTTTGGCAAGTAATATTACACCATATGTCGACACGATTGAAGTGCATCTACTTTGATGAGATCTTAAAACTAATTTTTTGCTGTGCACGGCTGCAATTCAATCCAGAAAGAATTCAGGCAAGAGAAATTTTCGAAAGAAGCAATTGTTTATGTATGCGACTTAGGTCATTATGAAAGCTTAGTAGATATATGATTTATTTGTACGCTTGTGTTTTTCAGAATCAATTGTGATCCAACAATCATTCGAAAAAAATTCCCCATTTGAAACCAGAACTACTCCGAAACCAGGTGGCCAATTCCAGTTCTTTTGAAACATGAAGAGTGCCCGGTTCTTATGAGACCTCAAGGCTCAAAATCGGATCATAAATGGGCATTATTCGAAAAATCATACATCAGTCAGTGGTTCGAGAGTTCATAGCCTTATACTCACATTTCCAGCATGGTGTACATCTTCTTCTCCATCAGCACCACATCGTCCGCGCCCTGTTGGACCATGACGAGGCAGAAGGTTCGCTTGGCACAGGAAGGATTCTTCCAGTTGGTCTGCCTGAGCTGCTGCTCGAACCCGTCCCTCGAGGGGCGCGGAGCATCCCGTTCCACATCCTGCAACGTTTGGCCAAAGCTATCGTCGTACGCTCCGATGGCACGCCTTCTCCGCCGGTTGCGTAACCCATTCGATTGAATGCTGTCGTCGTTTTCGTTTCCACTGTCATTGTCATCGTCATCGCTGTCATCTTGAGATTTCAAATCAACAATCTCAATCACGTCGCCTTGATCGTCGAATTTATCATTTCGGTAGATATCATTATCCTGAACAGTACCATCTTCCAGACGGTACATGTTCACTGATCTTTTCGAGCGTTTAAACGGCTCTTCTTGTTGCTGAACTGGCTCCAACCGAGTAATGGCGGTCGTCGGAACAACCAGATAGTACTTATCTGGATGAGTCTCAATGCCTTCCAATGCTCGCTTATGCTCCAGGTCGTCCAGTTCCATGACCAACTGTTCGCCAGACCTCCTCAGCAGATCCATATCGAAGAATCGTCCAAAGGCAGCGGCACCCAACCCCAGCGCCGCACCTCCAGCCAGCATTCCTAGAGCTGGGAAAACAATTGAATTTGCTGCTGGTGCCACCAACAGATCAGATTTGTCCTTAGCTTCGCTGGACTTCTTCGCGAATCCCAGGTTCTTGGAGATCTTTTGTCCCGCTTCGACCAATGGGTCTAGCACTGGTTTGGCGAATTCATGCACAGAGTGAATTCCGGTTTGAAAGCCATCCTTCACTTGTTCGCTGATCTTGACCCAGAAGGGCCTCTCAGGTTTCACGCGCCTGATGAAGCCATAGTTATACGGGTAGGTGGCTGGCATCTTCACCGGTTGATACATTTCATCGTAGTGATTCTTCTGAGCGAACTTCATCTGAGGAGATGCTTCGTAATAGTCCTTACCCAGCATGGCCGGTTCAATGGCAAATGGCGAATGATCATTGTGTTTGCTAAACTCAACATTGAGGATCTTCTTTGTCGCCTTGGTCGGCTTACTCTCCGGTGGAACAAACTTTGCCGGTTGAACTCCCAGCTCCGGATGGGCGTACTGCAGAACCGGTGTCCTGGAATCATCCAGCTCGCTTTGAATCTGATTCGATCCAGGGATGGCATACATTTTAGACACCGGATAAACCGGGTTTCCCGGATTTTGCAGCATTCTTCGCTGGATCTTCGGTTGCTCGGCATAGATTTCCTTGTTGGGAACTCGAGCTGCGTAGTAGTGCTTCCTACTTTCCTGGTCATTGATCTTCTTAATGTACTCGATCAGCTTAGCATTCGAAACTCGAGCATTATCTGCACGTGAAAATGGGCCAAAGCTCATCGGAACCCTCATCGGTTCCGCATCGTTAGCCCGCACGCTGGAGCGTAAATTGTCTTCAACGCTAAATGGACCGAAGCTTTTCGATTGTTGTTCATTCAGTGGGAAGTTATCGGCCGTCGTAAACGGTCCAATGCTCCTCCTGCGACTCGCCTGTTCACTATTACTGAGTGGCCTTGCGAAAACCAGCTGCCCGTAGGTATCCGGTAAGCCTTCCATTTTCTTCGGAACATGACCCTTCTCATATGGGACCAACTCGCCATTGATCACTCTAGCATTTCGCCATACCTTTCGTTTATCTTCTTCATCATCCGGGACGCGAATACCATGCACAACCGGTATGCCATCCTCTCCGATCTCTTGCAATGCCCGGGCTTTCTTTTTAGTTTTAGCAAAAGGATTATCTTTCATGTAGATTGTATCCGAGCTGATAAGCACGGGTGCAGGAACGTTGGCTGCCACGGTATCATCAACCGGTCGACTGTTCACGGCGATTCTCACCGGGCGACGATCGTTCTTGATCGAGCTCTCGTCTTCATAGAACCGTGCGGGTCTTTCGATCCTATTCACATGCTCCAGGAAGGCGTGGATGATATCGACCGATCCTGGGGAATTATCACTTGCGATCCGATAGCCATCGGACGATGCTGGCCTTACACTCTGAGGCATGGGGACACCTCGAGAATGACCACTCTTATCGTCCCGCTTCTTAACGATGATTTCCACCATCCGGCCATTATTGGAACGGACGTTCAGTTTTTGAACGTTTTCCGGTTCCAGGCTTCGAGCGACTTTCAGTTCCGTCCGGGTGTAGGTGGGTCGCAGAAACCTCAGTTTGGGCTCAGATGGGGAGGATTCGGAAAAAGAGAACGATGACGTTGAGGTTGAGGTTGAGGTTGGGGAGGTGATTGTGGCGGTGCCGTTGCCAATGGACTGAGACGATTGGGCTGCCGTTTGGTCCAGTAGCAGCCAGAGGCTCAGCAGCAACAGTGGTCTGGATGTCTGCGGGTGAGATTGAAGGGGAAATTGTTAATGTGGGCATATTTGTAGAGACGGAAAGTTACGTGTAAATATTTATATTGAGGATGATATGTTTTTATTTGGGAATAACTGTTGGATGATGATGGTCTGGAAAATCCGACAGTGGAAATATTACGTATACTCAATATCCGGGTTACAGACCGGATTCGCTATATTACAGCGATTTAATTTTTTAGGGTTTGGTTTTTTCCGTTGATCTACTGAGTACCAATGCTATCGACCCATCAATTCATAGACCAGGGTCGCATAACTCAAATCTGTATCTCTTATGCATCACGAATTAGAGCGGGCAGAACTTCTAACTGTTACATTCACTGAAAAACAGTAGTGGCTTCTGTTCGATCTGGTTCGTCTTGCATAAGAGATACGGATTTGAGGTTAATGACAGTTGTAGGTAATAACAAAACCTACAAAAGCTCCACACATCATTTTGCGAAATTCTGTTGATGAAAAAAGTTAGGGACAAATGAATGTAAATGAATGTAAATGATTTTCTATGCCTGACTAGAATTACAAAATTTTGAATTGTACAATACTTCTTACCAATAATTCAAAGGATTTTCTGATGAGTATATTTTTGGGAAATTCCAAGGGGGTTCTAAGAATAATTTCTTGGGAATTTTTATCATATCATTTATCATCAAATTTATTATATTCTTTTTATTATTATTTTAATTGTATTTTCTTTGAACCGGAGTTGGAGTCGAGGAGTCGGAGTCAAATCAGAGCAGTTGGAGGCGAAGTCGAAAGATTTAGATCCAACACCACCATGAAATTCTATCTTAGCTCAACATTTAAGGCTCAAGCGCAATAGCAGCGGAAGCGGAAAAGCTCGATCTTAGTAAGCCTATTTGTTGGATTGAAATCTAGTTAATATCAAATCGACTTCGGTTAGACATCTTGATGTCATTTGTGACAACCGTCAAACTTTCCGTTTCCGTTCCGCTTCCGCCCACATTGCGTTTGGGCCTTTACGTTTTTTTTTTGTTTAATCTGTGATGTTTCAATCTGTGGTGTTATTAAAAATTTAGGTTTTTTAAAGACTGAAATATCGAAAAGTTCACATGAATTTTAAATCTGACCTAACCTCAAAAATTTTATCATGTAATCTTCTAAAAATTAACTCAATCAATCTATCACTTTATGAAAAATAACTGATAGTAATATTTACAAACAATTATCTAAATTATAATAGGTACATAATTTCTAGACCAACAATTGAAATAGGCGGAACAACCAAACGTAAACAATGGCTTTAAACGCAAATTCCTCGAGAATCAAAGCACATACAAGAAATCTAACATAATCATCTGATAGAGCAAACTTCCTTTATCGAATTGCTAGTTTGTATGTTTGTGTGACATTGCTAGTTTGTGTGGGAGTATTTTAATTCTCGAGAATTTTGTGTTTAAAGCCATTGTTAACGTTTGGTTGTTCCACCTATTTCAATTGTTGGTCTAGATTTGACAATCACTTGCAAGATGGATCGAAGTAGGTCGCGCTCCGCAAATGACGTGTTTTTCGTTTGCAGCGTCGTTTGTGTGCTTGTGAAAATGTTAAAAATTGCATTTCTTATAAAAACAAAGTGTTAATGTGAAAGTACAGAAGTGGTGTTGAAAAGTGCATTAAGTGAAAATCAAATTCCTCGCCGTTGCATGCGGTGCTGTCTGTTCCAACTAACGCGTAGCAACGCTCAGCTAAGTTTATTTGCCTTTTCGTTCCTCCTTTCTCTATAGGATCATTTTAAAACTTACTAAAAAAGCGTCAATTATACTGCTTGATTGAAAGGTTAGTTTCGGAAAAATCTTTCAGTAGAGACACACGCTAGTCTGGTCCTCTTCCTTTTCGTGTGAAATTTCGACTGGCGTTTGGGGTTAGTTCCCGGAATCGGCGGTACCGGCAGATACGCGAGTGACTTCCTTTTTCCGGTCGCAGTGAAGAGAGAATAGTGTTTCGGGCCTACGGCCAAAACTGACGCAGTAACAACTAGTCCTGTCCCGAGCCTTAGAGTTATCACCTTCTTAGAGCAATAGAGCTATCACCTTCTAACTCCCGGACTAAAGCTGTCTACAATGACCATAAATGCGACATTGTAGAGAGAGTTTTCCATAATAACACTGCCGGCCAGTGGGGGTTAGAGGGAACTTGCAATCTTGGAGCTTTGTACATTTTCATAATTTTTGTTTTCTTAATTAAGTTATTTATCCCTGGATTTATCATTTTTTTTGCTATAAAAATGAAATCCTATTCCTGTATATGTACCTATCCTGTATGAATTTCTAAAGAAAAAAGAACGACACCCTAGCTTTACTTGGAAGAAAACACTAGATCTGAACTTAAGTATGTAGATATTCAAGTATAAATCCTAATAAATGGGTATTTTTGGCTAAAGATAGGAAAAAAATTAAAGTTAAAGCTGAAGAGATTTATAACGAAGAGAATAGCGAAATTTTCTATGGGGAATCTACAGAGTACGAAGGCAAGAAGGATAGACACGTGAAAAGAAAAAAAAAAGTTATTACTCAAGGATGCAGTAGTTTTCATGATAGGTACATTATGAAATAAACTTCATCTTCGGAAATTAAAAAAAGTAATAAAAACTTGAGGAACGAGCAGAAGGGATAGCAATGTACTTAAGGAAAACCTAAATAGTGAGATGCATACTCGAAAGATTTTTGTACGATTTTTTTTCCGCTGCTAAAACACATAATGTTATTTGAAAGTGTGCATATCACAAACAGTTTCATGTATTTAAAAAATAAATAAGTTAAAAAAAAACAAATTATCAGCTCGGTAAGTGACTTCATCATCGAAGGTAAGTCACCATATATATTTTCCCAAAATTATATTATTATGTGGACCAATAAATGCTGCGAATGGGTGGGATTGGGTGCCTTCAATTGAAGCGAAATGGATAGAGAGGGTGGAAATGCCAACTCCCTGTCTTTAACATTTCGTGAATAGAGGGCGGGCCAAGGGGTAAGTCACTCAGCACAGTGTGCAGAATGTAGACTCGACATAGCTTGGGCACATCAACCGGCACACCTTCGGCACAATCTCGTAGGCATTGGATTGTTCATTAAATAAAATGGGAGCACTGCTGGTCAGCTGTCATTAAAGTTGTTCACAACATTACGTGTTGTTTGACTGTGTATTTCAGAAACATACTCTAATTGAATATACTATAGGAACTCAGACCAGCAATTCACTTCTTGGTTCACATTTAAATTCGAAATGTAGGTTTCCGTGGGCTGTCAATTGCTATCGATGCCAGTCACAAGTCTTTCAGCTACTACGCAAATGGAGTGTACTACGAACTGGAATGCAAGAGCAATTTGGATCGATTGGATCGTGCAGTGGTGGCGGTTGGATACGAAAAACTCAAAGGAAAAGATTACTGGCTAATCAAAAACTCCTGATCCAACTTCTGAGGCAACGAAGGATATGCTTTGATGGCGGTGAAGGGTAACAACTGTTGCCTTACCACCAATGCGACGTATGTAAATTTAAGGTGAGAGTTCGGTTTAAATATGAATTAACTAGGTAAAAGAGTAGTTTTATTTTTGGATATGCGTCATCTTGTACGAGATGAAATAAATGGGTTTCGATTTTTGTAACAAAAATAAAAGTTAATTAGGTTGATTGGAAGCATTAAACATTTCGTGTGATTGTGCAGTGAAAAGTAGTCGGTCAATTGGTCGTCTACCAAACCAAACTCATTTGATCAATACCGAACTAATTTTCACGGCACAATCACACGGAATTTTAATAGCTTCTACGCAACCTAATTAACTTACAATTTTTAAACTGAATGTCACTTGTTGAGGTGCTACGATCGAATTCTCCCGGAACTCCAACCCGGTGGTAAAACCGAACGTCTTAGATTGAGATCCTTCTTCTTGGCATAAACCATTCCGACGTCGAAAACCTCCGAGAGCTTCTTGTCCGGAATCATAACCTTCAGCAGTTGCTCTTCCAGATTGAGCAGTAAAGTGTAGTGCTTCTGACCAGCAACGTTCGGACGATATTGGAGTAGTAGGACTTGTAACGCACACCCAGAGCACAGATGATAGATCCAAAGGACAGATAGTTCTTGTCGCTGAATGCACTGAACTTCAAGCTGTAATTGCCACCTGACTGGATAATCGACGTGTAGCACATGTCAACTAGTTGGTATCCACACCGGAGACGTACCTTTCATCCGTCAGTGCCTGCTCGACACCCTCCGACAGTTTGGTATGTTTTACTTTCTTATCAACATCCATAATCTCCATGATGTGATCCTTGAGGTACTTTTTGAATACGTCTACCATCTGATGGTGATAGCCTTGGAGTCCTCCTTGGAGGGCATGATGTACGCAATTGGGACGCTGATGCCCACCGTGTTGAAGCTCTTGTCCTTGCTGAAGGCTCGCCACGATTCACAGAAATCACCCGGGAAGTTGTTCTTGGAGAAGACGCCCAACGTGTTGCCATCCTTGGATCTCTTAATCGCCTCTCGCATCTTTTCAAAATTGGCCTTGTCTTTGTCGTTCTTTTCCCGAACCGTCCTTCTCGATCTGCTTCAGGAAATCAACCTTCTTCTTGCTGGTCAGGAAAAATATTGACTTTTCGCACAGCACCGTAATCGTATCGATCAGCTAGTATCCCAGCAGCCAGGTCTTTAGCGATAGCAGCCAGGACCGCCGTCAGAATGCAATCCACCTTCTGCATGGGAAAACTCTCGTTCCTTCCAGCTGGCTTAGAGGCGTTTGATTTGTCGGTAGAAGAAATCCTTATCGAGCACGATATTCGACATTTCCGGGGCCGTTGCGATTGCAAACCTAAACAATCGAGGTGTCAGAAATACTGGGTTACCAAATATACCATACTATTCGTATTTTTTGAAAAATCGCGGGTTGCTCTTTGCCCGGCACTGCCGGAATAATCGGCACACCAACGGTACACTTGCGGCACACTGA